TTTTCAGCCTCAAACTCTTTGTCAAGTCACTCTTTCCACTTGGAAGCCTATCGCTACCCTCATCCGCCTCACTTTATTCTAGCTATACAACAAAGATGGTCTTAAGGCTGGGTGCAGTGGCTCATGACTATAATCCCAGTACTTTGGGAGGCCAAGGCAAGAGGATCACCTGAGTCCGGAGTTCAAGACCCTATCTCTATAATTTTTTAAAAGAATTGTGGCACGCACCTGTAGTCCTAGCTACCTGGGAGGCTGAGGCAGGAAGATTGCTTGAGCCTAGGAGCTCCAGATTGCAGTGAGCCATGATCATGCCACTGCACTGCAGCCTGGGCAACAGAGTGAGACCCTGCCCCCCTGCCAAAAAAAAAAAAAAAAAAAGATGGTCTTAAATGTGTTTCCATGAAGCTGTTGCTAATCCCTTCAGCTGGTATAATGTTTCCCTCCTCCGAATGCATCATTTATGGTATTGGTAGAGTATAAGTCCTTTTCTGACGATACTATAATTACATACGTGCATAGCTCATCACCTCTACGCAGCCATAGCTCCTTGAGGGTGGAAACAAGGTTATTCATCTTGGTATCAGCTTGGTCCTAAGCCCCCTTCTCTGTTCACTGTCTTCTCTCCTTAAATAATCTCATGATTTATGACTTCATCCACTCCATCTAAATGCTGATGCTTCCAGCTCAGACCTCTCGGCTAAGCACCAGATCCTACTCACACCACCTACTCCCACAGCCCCATGGCTGTCTCCAGGCTCCTCACGCTTGGTGTGTTCAGTGGGAACTCATCATGAAGCCCCCCACCCAACTCAGGCCTCCTCCAGGTTTCTTTTCTCAGTAAATGCCACCCCCACCCCCTACTGGACATCCAGTTTTGCAAGCCAGAATCGAGGAGTCCTCTTGGAACTCCTCCACCCATCAACAGTTATTTCTACTCCATCACCAGGCCCTATAAGTTTTACATTTTAAATAGTATTCAAATCCCAAAACTTTTCTACACTTCCACTGCCACCCCTTAATCCAAGCTGCCCTCATCCCTCACCTTGCCCACATCCTCTGTCTGGTATCCTAAATGGGCTCCCCACATCACCTGCACCTCACATCTCCATTCTAGTCCATTCTAGTTCATATGACTAGAATGGCACTTGTTTTGTTAAACTCAAATCTGGTCAGGTCACCCTACAGGTTTAGAATCTTCCATGACTTCCTACTCATCTAGGATAAAGACCCAAATCCTTAATATAAACTGACCACAGGGCCCAGCATCATCTGGCCCCTGTTTATGTCTCCAGCCTAATTTTGTGCTACTTTCTTTTTTACTCTCAATATTTCAGTCACAGGGCACTACTTTCAGTTCCTCAAAAGCACCATGCTCTCTACAGCCCTGAGGCCTTCATGCATGCTGCTGCTTTTCACTCTGGCCACCGCCTTTGCCTAATAAACTCCTGTTCATCCTTCTAGTCTCAGAGCAGACCTCAGCCCCTCAGGCTCCCTGACCAGATCTGGTGCCTCAATTACATATCCTCACTGTCATCTGTATTTTCTTTTATTGTATTTAGATTGTTCCATAATTATAGATTTGTATAATTATTTGAAGGCAGATACGGCTATTTTGTTTCATAGATATAGAAGCTGTTCAGCAAAATTTGTTGAAAAGGAAAGGAAGGAAGGAAAGAAAGGAAGGAAGAAAGAGAGGACCCAAATAATCACTGACAAACTCTGGATAGACCAACACCGGGCAAAATATATTAACGACCAGCTACATTTGGCTGCCAATATTGTCAAGATATGTCAAGTGTTTCCTGAGGCCTATAATTTTCACATTTTCCTCTATTTTCTAGTTGCATCAGTTAAAAAAAAAAGTTTGTTTTTTTTTTTTTTTTGAGACGGAGTCTCACTCTGTCTCGTCCAGGCTGGAGTGCAGTGGTGCAACATTGACTCACTGCAGCCTCCACCTCCCGAGTTCAAGCGATTCTCCTGTCTCAGCCCTCTGAGTAGCTGGGACTACAGGCACGTGCCACCACACCCAGCTAATTTCGTATTTTTAGTAGAGATAGGGTTTCTTTCTTTTTCCTTTTTTTTTTCTTTTGAGATGGAGTTTCACTCTGTCACCCAGGCTGGAGTGCAGTAGTGCGATCTTGGCTCACTGCAACCTCTGCCTCCTGGATTCAAGCGATTCTCCTGCCTCAGCCTCCCAAGTAGCTGGGATTACAAGCACCCGCCACAATGCCCAGCTAATTTTTTTTGTATTTATAGTAGAGGCAATGTTTCACCATGTTGGCCAGGCTGATCTTGAACTCCTGACCTCAAGTCATTAGGCTGCCTCAGCTTCCCAAAGTGCTGGGATTACAAGTATGAGCCACCGCATCATTTAAAATTTTACTTAGCTGCAAGTAACTGAACGCAGCACTTAACCAAATAGGGTTTTTTTCTCTTTTTTTTTTTTCACATTATAGAAGTCTTAAGATAAGGCTGAAGCAGTTGCTTACAGAAAACAAGGTCCCAGCTTCCTTCTAATTTTTCTCCGCTACTCTTAGTGCCTGACTTTCTTCCTCACAATGGAAAGCTGGGCTGCTCCTCCAGCATGGTGCTCATACTCCACACAGAAAGAAGGGGAGGAGTCAAGGGCAAAACACATGTACTGATTGGACTTGTCCCTTTTTATCAGGGAAACAATGGGGCTCTCCTGAAAGCTCCCGGAGGAAGCTTCTACGGATATCTTTTTGGCCAGACCTGGGTTGTAGACACTTCAGCTTCAAGGGGCTCTGGCCCTAAGCCCAGCTGGAGGCCTGTTAGCGAGGAACAAGGAGAGACTGGAGACCAGAGGCCAACCAGGGCATCTGCCGCTCTACTGCCACAAACAGGTAGATCAGCTGGGTTCCAAGGCTCTGACGCAGGCTCAGAAGCCCAGATGAAAGTAATCCAGGGGAGTAAACTTTCTGAGTTTGAAATTTTGAGCAGAGAGACTCAAGCTCTTTAAAAAGAGAGAGAGAGAGAGTGAAAAGGAGAAGAGAGGAGACGAGAGAAGGGGCGAGGAGGGGAGGGGAGGGGAGTGGAGAGGAGAGGAGAGGGACTGGGCACAGTGGCTCATCTGTAATCCCAGCATTTTGGGAGGCTGACACAGATGGATCACTTGAGGTCAGAAGTTCGAGACTAGCCTGGCCAACATGGTGAAACCCCATTTCTACTAAAAAAAAAAATATATATATATATATATATAGCAGGACATGGTGGTGGGCTCCTGTAATCCCAGCTACTTGGGAGTCTGAGGTAGGAGAATCGCTTGAACCCGCAAGGCGGAGGTTGCAGTGAGCCAAGATCATGCCACTGCACTCCAGCATGGGTGACAGAGCGAGGCTCCATCTCAAAAATAATAATATTAAAATGGTATTCATGCCTATGGTAAGAAAAAGAAAGAAAGATTGGGCTTTGCAGGTATGGTGCTAAGCCATGCAAGTGAAAAGTGAAGAAGTCCATCAAATACATGGTTGATTTATATATAATACTAAATAAATCTGCTTAAACCAAATATATGAAAGAACCATTCCTCCTTGAAATATTCCTCTCACTGTACACACTTCATTTTAAAGATCAACTTTCTTTTCTTTTTTTTTTGAGACAGGGTCTTGCTCTGTCACTCAGACTGGAGTGCAGTGGCAACATCACAGCTCACTGCAGCCTCAACCTCCCAGGTTCACGCAATCTCCCCACCTCAGCCTCCCAAGTAGCTGGGACTACAGGTGTGCGCCACTATGCCCAGCTGATTTTTTTTTTTTTTTTTTTTTTTTTTGTATTTTTAGTAGAGATGCCATTGTGCCATGTCACAAGGCTGGTCCCAGATTCCTGGGCTCAAGAGATCCTCCTGCCTCACCCTCCCAAAGTGCTGGGATTATGGGTGTGAGCCACTGCACCTGGCCTAAAGATCAACTTTCAAGAAGTTAATTCATCATTAAAATTTGAGCCTACAATTAAGGCATGACATTACTAGACATTGCCCCTTCAATCATATGGCTTCCTCCACACTCTTCATGCAGGCATGTGTTCAGTCTCCAGGAAGAGAGCAAGTGGAGACACTATCCATTCATCAAACGAAAAATGAAAAGTAAGCACACCGGCCGGGCGCGGTGGCTCAAGCCTGTAATCCCAGCACTTTGGGAGGCCGAGACGGGTGGATCACAAGGTCAGGAGATCGAGACCATCCTGGCTAACACGGCGAAACCCCGTCTCTACTAAAAACACAAAAAATTAGCCGGGCGAGGTGGCGGCGCCTGTGGTCCCAGCTACTCGGGAGGCTGAGGCAGGAGAATGGCGGGAACCCGGGAGGCGGAGCTTGCAGTGAGCTGAGATCCGGCCACTGCACTCCAGCCTGGGCGACAGAGCGAGACTCCGTCTCAAAAAAAAAAAAAAAAAAAAAAAAAAAAGAAAAGAAAAGTAAGCACACCGCCAGTTCAGCCATACCTAAGAACAGGAAAGCTAGAAGGCAGAGGAAGAATTAAGAATGCAAGGGATTCATAGAGAGATTGAGCCTATACCAGGGAGAGTTTAGAATGAGGGAAGCAAAGTGATTTTTGTGTGGAAAGGCGGGGAGAGGTTTCCTCAACAAGGAGATGACAAGCTGGATAACTCAGGGGCAAGGCCACATGACCTATGGAGCACAGGCAACAAGATAGCAAGCAGGACATGCCCACATGAGGAGAATTTGTTTTTCAATTAATACCACTGCCTTTAATTAGTTCAAGTCAACTTTTTTTTTTTTTTTTTTTTTTTTGAGGCATGGTCTCACTCTATCTCCCAGGCTGGAGTGCAGTGGCACAATCACAGCTCACTGCAATCTCAACCTCCTGGGCTCAAGCGATCCTCCCACCTCAGCCTCCTGAGCAGCTGGGACCCCAGTTGCGCACCAACATGTCCGGCTAATTTTTTGTTTATTTTTGTAGAGATGAGGTTTGCCCTGTTGCCCAGGCTGGTCTCGAACTCCTGGACTCAAGCAATTTGCCCACCTTGACTTCCCAAAGTGCTGTGATTACAGGCTTGCACCACCACACCCAGCCAACAAGCATTTCTCAACCATCGTCTGTGTGCCAGAGGCTGGTATTGTCCTCTGCCCTGAAAGAAAGGAGAAGAAATATTATTGCTAGATGGAACTTTGGAGGATACACATTCATTTTAGAGATAAGGATATTAAGGTCCAGAAAAATTAAATGACCCCATACTCACCCCAATTAATTAACAACAGAAAACCATGATAAAATCCAGGATTTTCTGGGTCTTGAATGTTCACGCAAACAAAACCCTGAGGACCTGGATACAGCCCATCTCTTCAACAGGGCAATTCCTACATTTCAGAGGAGATGGAGTTTTGCTGTTGTTGCTGTTGCTTTGTTTGTTTTTTTACAACTGATTTACCATGTACAAAGTCATGCCATTCAAAAATTATCCCTGATTCTCAGACTTGCCCTGTTATTTTTCTCTGCTGTCATCAAGCATGTATCAGCTGAAACCTGGCTGAAAATGCCTCCCATGAAGCCTGGTTCAACCTACCCAATATTAATCACTTCACTCTGCTTCCTAGCCCTTTCTCCCACATACCTCGTCCTCTGCCTTCCTCCCCCACTCTGGGGCACCTCCATGCACATCCACCAGGTTGATCTGCACTCTTTAATTAATTGTTTCAAGGTGTTCTGATGTCATATCAGAGGCTATGTCTCCCAACTACCTTTGTAAAGGCAGGAAAACAAAGGCAATACTACACATAGGCTAACAGTTTGGAATGAGAAGACCTGGCTTCAACTGGAGCTCTACCATTTACTGTTTTGTTTTGATTTTTTTTAAGATGGGGTTGACCAGGAACGGTGGCTCAAACCTGTGATCCCAGCACTTTGGGAGGCTGAGGTGGGTGGATCACTTGAGGTCAGGAGTTCGAGACCAATCTGCCAACATGATGAAACCTCGTCTCTACTGAAAAAAGATGAAAATTAGCTGGGTGTGGTGGTAGGCACCTGTAATCCCAGCTACTCAAGAGGCTGAAGCAGAAGAATTGCTTGAACCTGAGAGGTGGAGGTTGTAGGTTGTAGTAAGCTGAGATTATGCCACTGCACTCCAGCCTGGGTGACAGAGCAAGACTCTGTCTCAAAAAAAAAAAAAAAAAAAAAAAAAAAAAAGATGGGGTCTCACTCTGTCACCCAGGCTGGAGTGCAGCGGTGCAATCTCAGCTCACTGCAACCTCCAGCTTCCAGGCTCAAGCAATCCTCCCACCTCAGCCTCCCGAGTAGCTGGGACTATAGGCATGCGCCACCACACCTGGCTAATTTTTATATTTTTGGTAGATACAGGGTTTCATCATGTTGGCCAGGGTGGTCTCGAACTCCTGAGCTCATTGAGCCTCATGTTTAACATCACTGAGCCTCATGTTCCTCATGTATATAATGAGGATAACAATACCTGCTTTGTAAGGATGATGCAAAGACTCGATGAGGTAATGCATCACAAGCACTGAGTGGTATAAAGTTTCATACTGGTATAAAGTCAGGGCTCAATATGTTTATTGTCATTATTTTATTTGTTCCCACTCTCCCATCTCTCCAAGGAAAGCCTAACCCATGGCATTGGTCAGACCCGAATTCAAATCCTAGTTCTTCCACTGACCAGCTATATACAATCTTGAGCAATTCCCATGACCTTCCTGAGCCTCCTAGAATAAAGTCTGGCTATGGGCTATACCCAATATTTGTTGACTGAATAAGATACAGTTTTCTTATGGATGAGACAGAGATAATAAATTTCATCTCACCTGATTATTACAGCAGTTAAGTGAGATCATGTAAGCAAAGTACCTGCTATGTTCTTCTTTAACTCAATTGATGAACCAATTACCCTGGGAGGGAGTGGATTCATTGGATGGGTTTTTGGTTTTTCTTTTCTTTTTTTTTTTTTTTTTTTTTTTTTTTTGAGATAGGGTATTGCTCTGTAGCCCAGGCTGAAGTGCAATGGTGTGATCTTGGCTCACCGCAGCCTCAACATCCCAGGCTCAAGCAATCCTGCCTCCTCAGCCTCTTGAGTAGCTGAGACTACAGGTGCACGCCACATGCCTGGCTGATAGATTGTGTTTTTTGGTAGAACAGGGTCACTCTATGTTGTGCAGGCTGGTCTTGAACTCCTGGGCTCAAGCCATCTACCCACCCAACCTCAACTGAGATTGCAGGCATGAGCCAGTGTGCCCAGTAGATTCATTGAATGTTAGATCAAGAGTCTTTCGTTCATATGATGTCTTAATACTTAACTCACTTCTTTCTTTCTTTCTTTTTTCTTTTTATTTTTTTATTTTGAGACAGAGTCTCTCTCTTGTCACCCAGGCTGGAGTGCAGTGCAATGGTGCAGTGGTGCAATCTTGGCTTACTGCAACCTCTGCTTCCCAGGTTCAAGCAATTCTCTGCCTCAGCCTCCCGAGTAGCTGGGATTACAGGCGCCTGCCACCACACTCGGCTAATTTTTATATTTTTAGTAGAGATGGGGCCAGGCTGGTCTCGAACTTCTGACCTCAGGTGATCTGCCTCCCAAAGTGCTGGGATTACAGGCGTGAGCCACTGCACCCGACTCATATTTCTTTATTTATTTTCCACAGTAGCTCTTGGGAGAGGGTACAGTGGGGATATATAACACTCTCTTCTCCATCTGGAGTTCTAGATCAACAGAGAAAGAAAACAAGAGAATAATCAAATAGGGGCCAAATATCCCCTTTAATAAGCTGATTTGGAAACTCTGGCTTATATAGGGCCAAGGGTCTCCTCATATTAAACTCCAAAGATAGGCAGACTCACATACTCTGGAGCACTAGAACTCCGAAGGCCTCCCACCTCACCCAGCTAGGAAGACCTGCCCCTGGAGGAGCAGAACAAGATGTGTCGTTAAAAGGCTAGGCCGGCCGGCCGCGGTGGCTCAAGCCTGTAATCCCAGCACTTTGGGAGGCCGAGACGGGTGGATCACTAGGTCAGGAGATGCAGACCATACTGGCTAACCCGGTGAAACCCCGTCTCTACTAAAAAAACACAAAAAACTAGCCGGGCGAGGTGGCGGGCGCCTGTAGTCCCAGCTACTCGGGAGGCTGAGGCAGGAAAATGGCGTAAACCCGGGAGGCGGAGCTTGCAGTGAGCTGAGATCCGGCCACTGCACTCCAGCCTGGGGGACACAGCGAGACTCCATCTCAAAAAAAAAAAAAAAGGCTAGGCCATGGGTGCCCTTCTTTCTCACACTCAGGCAACCCGCTCATCTCCCCAGGGGGAGAGTAAAGGTGAGACAGAGGCCAGGGGTATTTGGGGGAAACCCCATCTTTGAAACAAAAATGGACAAGAAGTATTCACCACCTAACAACCTCTATATGCAGCATGGATTGAATAAGCATCCTAATTTCCCCACAAGAATTTAGAGGGTACATGAAATATGATGATGAGCCCAACCTGGAGGCAGCTGCTCACTTTTGAATCCAGGCTCTGCCACTTACTAGCTCTGTGACCTTAAGCGAGTTATTTCTCCTTCCTGAGCCTCCGTCTTGTTTTAAATTGTACATACTTAAGGTATGTAACATGTTTGGCTACACTTATCTTGAGGTACATACACATGCCCAGGTGATTACCATAGTCAAGCAAATTAACATACCCATCACTTCATAGCTACATTTTTTTACTTTATTTATTTTATTATTACTATTTTTAAGACAGGGTCTCACTCTGTCACCTAGGCTGGAGCACAGTGGTGCCATAGTAGCTCACTGCAGCCTTGAACTCCTGGGCTCAAGCAATCCTCCCACCTCAGCCTCCCAAGTAGCTGGGAAGCTGGGACTACAGGCATGTGCCACTGTGCCCAGATAACTCTCTCTCTCTCTTTCTTGTGTGTGTGTGTGTTTGTGTGTGTGTGTGTTAAGAGTACCCAAAATCTTCCAGGCACGGTGGCTCATGTCTGTAAACCCAGCACTTTGGGAGGTCAAGGTGGCAGGACCATTTAAGCCTCAGAGGTCTTGACTGTGGTGAGCTGAGATTTCACTACTGCACTCCAGCCTGAGTGACAGAGCAAGACCCTGTCTAAAAAAAAAAAAAAAAAAAAAAAAAAAGTACCTAAAATCTTCTCTTTTGGCGAACACCAGTACAGAATACAGTATTATTAACTGTAGTTTTCTTATTGTACCTTAGCTCTCTACACTTGTTCAGCTTACACAGCCACAGCTTCATACCCTTTGTGAGCCTCCATCTTGCCATCTGCAAAATGCCAATAATGAATATGCCTCTTCACAAAGCGGTTGTGAGGATTAAATAAAAGAATGTCCATAACAGTAAAGGGTAAGTACAAAACAAATGCGAGTTATTGTTATCATGAGGTTGGTAACTTTGTCTTACAAAAACTATGAACTCTGCCATTTAAGAGGTGAAGGAAAATACCAACGCTAGCCAAGAATTGCGCACCAATTCTCTCGCCTGAACCCAAAACAAAAACTAATTACAGTCAACACCTGATCATACCTGTGATCTTAGGACCATGCAAACCACCTCGCAGTGCCAACACCTCCTGCCCCAACTTCCCATGAAAGTCATTTTTCATTCTGTTAAACTGAAGTCTCTTTGATCCTCCCAAATCCCATTACTCAAAAAGACACACCTTGCCTTTTGGATTACTGTCCTCTCTTGTGGACAGCTGTGGGGAGACAGTCAAAGAGAAAAATCCTTATAAGATTTTTAAAATATTTTCTTATGTCAGTTTTCTGCTGAGCTATTGAGGTTGGCAGAAAAACCCTTACAAAATGTTTTAATATACTTATAACAGTGCTTCTGATGAGTCATGAGGTTGGCAGAGGTTAAAGGCCTTGGCTGGGGTGTGGTTTGTGACATGAGTGTGAGTTGTGATAATACTGAGAAAAAGTGGCCAGTTTGCTGCACTGCCCACGAAGGATTCTTTTTTTTTTTTTTTTGAGACAGAGTCTCGCTCTGTTGCCCAGGCTAGAGTGCAGTGGCCAGAGCTCAGCTCACCGCAAGCTCCGCCTCCCGGGTTCACGCCATTCTCCTGCCTCAGCCTCCCGAGTAGCTGGGACTACAGGCGCCGGCCACCTCGCCCGGCT